GAACCCAGTGCCTGGGTTCCTTCGAACTCAAGGATCAATCATCTCAACCAATCTCTTATCTTGCTAGTTTCTTCATCATCATCAAAAAAAAAAAAAAAAAAGAAATTTTTTCTAATGTTTTGCCACTGATTTGAATGAACCCAGTTGCTAGGTTCGAAGGAACCCAGTGCGTGGGTTCCATCGAACCTAGGTGCTGGGTTCAAAAGAACCTAGGCGCGGGTTCAAAGGAACTTGCGCCTGGGTTCCCATGAACCCAGCGCCTGGGTTCGATCGATTGATTCCGAGGGCAAAGAGAAAATGAAAGAGAAGAAGAAAAAATACGAAAGAATTTTTATTTTTTTTCCACGCCATTATTTTGTTATCATGTTGTAATTCCACGTGTTTTAAAAATTGACATGTCATCATGTAACAGTAAATTAACAGGACACATAATGAGAATTTTAACGGAATGACCAAATTGGGGTTAAAATGGTAAACAGTAAGGACTAAATCAGGGATTTTTTTAGTTTAGGGACCAAATCGGGGGTCTGTACAATAGTTCAGGGACCAAAATAGGGTTTTAACCTAAAAGTTATTAAATTTAATTTTAATATAGTACTAATTACTAAATATATAAAAAATAAAAACTAAACACCCAAAACCAAAATTATACAAAATGGGTTTTTGATTTTTCATTATGTATTAGGATGTGAGAAAAACTACAATTTTAAAAATAAGATGTTAAAATAATCTTTTCTTTTTAAGTTTCTCCTAATCAGTTAAACTTCTATAATTTACAAGATTTGGTGAGAATCAAGCAAAGTATATGAAGCCATGTTAGCCCTCCCAAAGAAATGGGACTACTCTCAGTTGCTCCAGTGCTTTTGATCCTAAACTTCAAGCCTTCACAAGACTTGGTAAGGTAGTTGATTATCTATTCCCTTGGAATAGATGGAACAACCAATTTGACTTGTCACCAAATTCATGAATTTTCTTACAGCCTATAAATTGTGATTTCCTGCTACATGAAATACTAGCGATCCTCTTCATCTACTAGAACAAGATTCAAGTAATACTTTACATTAAATTTGTTGTTAATGTTGCCATGTGCTGGTGTTAGCTCATAAGGGCTAAGGAACAGTCTGACTGGTATTGACTCACCTGTAGTACATGATTGGAGGCCATTATATGAAATGACAACCAGAGATGTGCATGAAACACACACCCACTCAGACATACAAGCATGCAAATATAGTGGTATTACATATCTACTGCATCTCTTGAGATATTGCTTAGAAAATACCAGAAATCAAGAGTCACAAACATACCTCTGATTGGAGCACCATCCATCAATGCAAATTTGGCTAGTGTCTTTGTTCAACATGAGTATTGGCTCCTGATCCTGTTGACTCCCTGCACCAAATCTCAAGATCCATATTCTTAATCCTGATCCTCACAAGAAGGAAATATATTTTGCCAATAATAACATCTTTCATATGATACCTGTGCACTGTGCAATTCAGGTTCCAATGAGCAACAACTTTGACGTTATTGTTAACCCTCAACCAACATGCTTAGGAAAATGCCAACAACTTTGCTTTTCAAGCTAACTTAGCTCAAGGGTTTAAATCCTAAATCAAACAACATAATATATAACCCTGACCATTATATTAGGCTTAAGAAAGATCCATTATGATCTATCATTAAGAATGGTGATATTAGAGTTGGAGCAACAGTGCCTGAAAAAAGTACGAGAAAGAATAGAAAAGCCTAACAGCTCAATATGTTTAACTTACTGCTTTTATTGTACTCAAACTCAATATGCAGGCAGTCTTCAATTCCAACTTCCATCTGCAGATGACATAAATACAATATTAAGATTACATATTAGCAACTAAATAAGGACCATAAGGTGGTATGCAGCACATCAGATAAACAGCATAACCTACGTCGTATGTAAAAAATGACACGGAAAAATCAATAATAGCCATGAATAAATTCTTGCATGAAAAATCAGCTGAGATTGAAACAAAAATCCATTGCAAGTTCTATGTGGAAATATTAAATAATGCACTCATGGAGGTGGAGAATCGTTGTAGACTTGAGAAGTAAAAAATGACATCAAGCAGTCCAAAAGAAAACTAGGTTATACCATATTGCTGTCAACAAATAAACATCACTTATGGACACACCACATACAATGATAGGCATGCTTTTATGTTTCGTACGACAATGGAAAATTCAAAAGGATATGTTTTTCTTTCATACATTTCCCTAGGAACATCCAATTGACACACTGCAAATGTTAATAAATATTGACCAATTAAAACAAATTAACAGTGACCAAGTTCAATGAATAATTCTCCCACTGTTAGAAGCTCTAAAAAGGTGAAAGCAAGATATGAATAATCAGAAAAGGCAGTGAAATAATTGTATTGTACTAGATGCTTGTAATAGATAGAGATGGTGCCAACATAAACAAAAAAAAATTAAAGCTATAGCATACTCACCAAGTGAAGTAAAGTGATAAAAGTTGCCTGTGTCAAAATACATCTCTGAAAAGCAAAAAAAAATCAAACATGCATTTCATTTCTTTTTTGATAGACCATGTCTTTCATTTCACAATATGAGAAAGGACCACAATCTTACACCTTGATTTTATTTGGCCACTAAACAAGAGTGAAAATAGAAGAGTAGACTAATTTTGTCAATTACAACCAAGAACTATGGTAAAGACACAAATGCAATCAGAATTGGATAAGATTTTGCATCTTAGTGCACAACAGAAATACAACCCCAAAAAATGACTCAACTTTTATGTTGTTCCAAACTTCCAACAAAAGTGAATTTAATACCACTGAAAACAATCTACATTTCTTAGATTAGAACAATATTCATTTTTTCAGGACAAAAGAACACGAAGAAACCCTTTCACCTGCATTATGTCTTCTAAATAGTGTCTAACATTTACTAAAAGACAAAAACTGAAAAACATTGTAGTGGGAAAAAATGTTCTCTTACACAAGCCATGTGGCACCTGGCCCAAAAAAAAAAAAAAGGATGAAAAAAAAAAAAAAAAAAAGGATGTGTACAAATAGAAGTTGCAACATAATACATATTTGACCAAGGAGCTCAACTATCACACCATTGTGTTCAATTTTGTTGCCTTGAACTAGTTCTACAGATATCTAAAGATAAAACACAAACAAAAATTTCCAAAGCATTAACTTATTGAAAATTCATAGCAACCTGAAATTGAGAGGAAAAAAAAAAGAGGGAAGGCAGAAACACCTTGCCAGCAATATTTTCTTGGCTCCAGACAAGAGGTAGAGAACCATCTGACCCTTCTTTTTCATTGGGACCTAAGAACATAACAACAAACTAGCATCATGACCAATAGAATTTAATTGTACAACCACATTAAGTAACTGAAGGAAAGTAATGGAAGACAACAAAATTTATCAACTAATATAGAAACAGATGCTAGACACAAAAATTTTTATGAGTAACAAGTTAAATTCACTCATGGGGCTCTGAGCAAATTTCACACAATTCAGTAAACAACTAGAACTGACAACAAAAAAAAAGTAAACAACTAATATGTATTCTTCTTTACTTGGTTTTCAGGTCCACAAAATAATGAAACCTATTTAGTATAAATGTAAAATAAAAAAAAAATTTGACCATTAAGGTACCTGCTTGCTAGTTTTCCTGTCAACAAATGTGATGGAGATAGTACATGCTGGTTTGAAAGCTCCACGAATGAAACTCTGGGTAGAATTTAACCCAATTTGTTTCAGTGAATGACATTTCAGCGTCAAATAAAGGTTATGTCGAGAGAAAAACCCTTGTCCAATAGTACCATGACCACGAATACAAGCCCTCACCATGTTTATATGCTTCAATCCCAACAATTAAATTCCTACATTATACTAACAATCTGTTGATTCGAGTGGAAAAAACTCGGTTCCCCTTAAGCAAGATCTCAAGTTCAAATCTTATAAATGAAGAAACAGATACTGAGAGAGCTTCCAAATAGGGTCTGACGC